CAACATGTCGCCGTAGAGGCGGAAGGACTGGGCTAATTGTCCAGTTGGCCGGCAACCAACTCTTTCCTCTTTCCCAGACGACAACTGTTGCCAACCGAACCGTTTCACTTGTGAATCAATTAACGATATCCATTACAGCATTACGCCTCTTCTAAGCGAGACCTTTTTCTTTCTGTTCTAATCACTTTAAAACCGTGAAAAGCTCGGGCAAAGCTGCGAAGTCCTTTGACGGCCATGTTTGCCAGTAATTAAATGTGTTATTCACCAAGGTGGTTTAACTAGTCAAAAAGAAAGTTTATTTTTATTTTATTTTACAATTTTGTAAATGATTATGGTGGCCTTTATTAGAATGTAGACAAGACTTTAAAAAGAAATCTCATCCCATTTCTATTCTTTATGAGATACTGGAGTTTCTCCCTATGTCACATTCTAAAAATACCGGCTACTGATATTCACTGAATTATTAATATAATTATATTTTTATGTAAGGTATTGGTTGAAAATGAAAAAGTTAGTGTCACGAGCGAGATTCGAACCCATGACCTTCGATCCACTTGGACACCATCTACCCATCTCAACCTTTCGAATTTTCCCTCCTTTTTATTTCAACCAATACCTTACATAAAGATTAATTAATTGAAAGAAGTTATTTGGTAAATCGGACCACGAAATACAGGGTGAATTGCTACTCGTGCTACAAACTTCTCCAGTAGATTCTTCACCCTAAAATGAACAAAAAAGTTCATATTGTCCATGGTCCGATTCTCAACCATTTCAGAGTAATTTCGCTTTTTATCGATTTTGAAAGATATCACGTCCTGGCGTCGGAAAATCGTGATATCTTTTAATCTAAACATTTCTCTTAAAATCTATAAGCACCGTTGAAATCCCCGTTAATTTTTAGAGAGAATCAAAATCATAATTCCATTGAAATTTTTTAATTTAATTTAATGCCCATTTAGTATGTAATGCTTAAGAAGTTTACAAACAGCTAGAAGGTCAAGGAAGAAAGACCCAAACGTTTTGCCACCTTCATCTTCTTATTGAAAAATTAACGGGGATTTCAACGGTGCTTATAGATTTTAAGAGAAATGTTTAGATTAAAAGATATCACGATTTTCCGACGCCAGGACGTGATATCTTTCAAAATCGATAAAAAGCGAAATTACTCTGAAATGGTTGAGAATCGGACCATGGTCAATATGAACTTTTTTGTTCATTTTAGGGTCAAGAATCTACTGGTGAAGTTTGTAGCACGAGTAGCAAGTCACTCTCAAACATTAGCAATCCTTGAACCACCATTTTTTCTCTTTTTGTCATCAACATCTTGGTCTCACAACCACTAAATAAGAAAATGACGAGTGCGTTGGAAGCGTTATTAAATCAGGTAGTTTTCCTCAAATTTGCTGCCTTCTGAGACTAAAATTAGAAACTCTGGATTACTTTATACACTTTCCGATTTACACAATTTTCCACTCTTTTTGTAGTTCTGGCTGAAATAAAACACAAAAAATTAGCCCAAACATTTTGCCACCGTCATCTTCTTATTGAAAAATTAACGGGAATTTCAACGGTGCTATTAGATTTTCAGAGAAATGTTTAGATTAAAAGATATCACGATTTTCCGACGCCAGGACGTGATATCTTTCAAAATCGATAAAAAGCGAAATTACTCTGAAATGGTTGAGAATCGGACCATGGACAATATGAACTTTTTTGTTCATTTTAGGGTGAAGAATCTACTGGAGAAGTTTTTAGCACGAGTAGCAATTCACCCTGTATAATGGATTTTTTCAAGATGTTGAATTTTAGCCTTTTAAAACACTGACTATAACCCGTGTAAGAGGGTAATCCATAAAAATCGAATTAAAAATTAAGAATTACACTCTCTACTAATTTATCATCTCTTTGATTAAGACTCAGCTTAAATGTAGATGTCTGAATTAAACCAACCGAGCTAAAACTTGGGCCTTATCGTCACCCTTTTCACTGCACTTTCGGACCTCTTCTTAGCTCATTCCCTTTTAGACAACAGAGACGGCGAAAATCGTGAATCATTAAGTTGAATAAAGGATTAGTCTAAGTAAACAATACAATTTATATAAACAAAAGAGTCAAGTAAGGATTAATATTTGACTAAGGACTTAATGTTTCCACGCGCAGGGACTTTTGTAACAACCTAGTAAAGTACAGAGTACAATACCTCTAAAAAGCATGGTACAAACCCTCGACATCCTACATTCTACAAACAGAATTTAAATCGCAAACTGAAACGATTCTGTGTCGAATTTAATTGTTTTTGTCAATATATTTGAGGAAGATGAAAAGACATCATCCCTCGAAAAAGAATCGAATGGGGAATGATAAAATAACATTGTTTTAGAGTAGCTTTTGATATACACTGGCAGGCAAAAAATTCAGCCCAACTGATTTTTCTTTTTCATTTTCTCGATAATAGAAAATTCTGCCCTTAATTTGTCTCATTGTATTTTTCAATGTGTGATTAGTGACCGTTAGTCGATGATTATTCGGAAATCGTGAGATGTAGGTTTCAGAAAAACATTTTCTTGATCCTGTCAACGTTACTATCTTTATTGAGATCATCTTCAGGGCCTGAGATTTACAAATATTCTTTAAATTTAACAAATACATGTTGGATGTGGAAAAAAGTGAATTTATACAATGCAAAATATATTTTTTATATATTCAATCAAAGTATTTCTACTCACTCAAAGTGTTTGTCTTCTGTGCAATTGTACCATTCTTGCGTGTCGTGTTTAGAGTGCCAGCGAGATTTTGCTGTTTTGTGTTTATATAGGTTCGATTTTGAAGGAGTGGGGAAGGAAGTCGGTATAGAAAGACATTTTTGTATAAGGAGTCGGCTTCTTTGAGGTGAAAAGAGCCTACGATGGGAAAAAACGTTGGTAATGGTTCGGCCATTTGTTATCAATAAATATTATGCTATGTTTTAAATTGGGAATATCGATTAGATATAAACACATTTAATCGTTAATCCAAAACAAGGATAAAGGATTTTTCAATGTTTACTTTTTACGAAATTTAAAATGTTTATTCAGTCTTATTTGAATTCTGAAGCAATAAATTGTTTAGTTTCAACTTTGTTTCCCTAATTTCCATATCTCAAACTTAAAACGCTACTTAGTGCTGTGGATGTTGCGCGTGGCGTGGGACTTATTTATGATGGGCGTTCCATTAGGTATTGCCATCGGAGTTCCCTACGAAACATTGCGAGACTCCGTTAAATGTTTTCTAGAAACTGGGTCCTACCATAGAAGGCCTGGTTCTGGACGCCCTAAGGTAACAGAACTACAGGATGACCATTTTTTGACTTCGAGAATTTTGCGAAACCGGCACCTTACCGGGTTCAAGCGATTCATCAGCTCCAGAAAGTTCCAGGTTTCCAAATTTCTGATTGCACTGTTAGAAGAAGATTAAATCAGTAGGGACTTAAATCAATTCGCCCCGTGAGAGGACCAGAATTGACCAGAACACACCGAGATGCACGGCTCGCATTTGCTCGAGAGCACAGCCATTGATCTTTGTACGTTTGGTCTGCTATACTTTTTACAGATGAGTGTACATTTGCTCTACGAACTCCAGATAGGCTTCAAAGAGTGTGGAGAAAGCGAAATGAAGGGTACGAAGCCTGTAATTTTTCCCACGGCCAATCTTTTCAATGTAGCTCAGTGATGGTGTGGGCGGGAATATCAACGGAGAGTCGCAGAGGGTTGGTTGTTGTTCGTGGAGGGTCTTTGACGGCCAATCGCTATGTGGGTGAAATTTTGGAACATCATGCGTGGCCTATCCTCGATGAAAACAGCCACAATCCTATTCTAATGCTCGATAATGCCCGTCCACATGTAGCTCGCATAGTACAAACGTACTTCAACAGCATAAAATCAGGGTCTTAGCCTGGCCATCTCCAGATTTGAACCCCATCGAACATTTATGGGATAACCTCAAAAGACGAATAAGAGCGCGTCCATCACTTCCTGATACACTACACGATCTTTAAAGGACTCTTCGTTTAACGCTAACCTCCAGCAAAGAAACATTTCCAGACTGGTAGAAAGTATGCCGAGGCGTATTCGAGATGTAATTAAGGCAAGACAAAGAAATACACGATATTGAAATGTTAATTAAAAATCTAAAACAATTTTATCTCTCCGTCTTTTTGTTCATTTTCCTTTGCAATTTATATATTTATTTTTTTATCTTTTTAGACAAAGACTCAATTAGCAAACGTTAAAAGTGAAACTTTAATTAATATATTAAAAAAATCTATACCAATCAAGTTATATTACAAGGGGGTGGAGTTTTTTGCCTGTCAGGGTATTTCTAAGTCTTTCTCTTCTGTTAAGAGGTCCAATGTACATTCACCCTTTCTGCGAATTCTGGGGTTGGAAACTGCATCCCCCTTTCTCTTTCATAAGTGCTGGCGCGCTCTAGCGAACTACTTATAAATTAGATTCTGCTGCGACAAATAAATAATGCTAATCCTATATGTGTAGAGATTAGTGACCGTTAATCGATAGTAATTCAGATATCGTGAGATGCGGTCGGGTGTGATGTAGGTTTCAGAAAAACATTTTCTTTATCGTGCCAACGTTTCGATCTTTTATTGAGATCATCTTCAGGGCTCAAAGTGTTTGTCTTCTGTGTAATTGTGCCATCCATGCGTGTCGTGGCACTCTCAACACGACACGCAAGGATGGCACAATTACACAGAAGACAAACACTTTGAGTCCTGAAGATGATCTCAATAAAAGATCGAAACGTTGGCACGATAAAGAAAATGTTTTTCTGAAACCTACATCACACCCGACCGCATCTCACGATATCTGAATTGCTAATCCTATATTTTATACGCAAAAATTGCAAATCACTACTAACATGCTGACTTTTATTTAAGTCACTTTAATCCTGTCGGCGGGTGGAATAATACTATCATTCTTAATAATATTATTTCAATGTTTCAGATTTACCTGTCTAATAGTACAGTAGTGACGCTTTCCAATGTTCAGAAAGAGTTGACCGGCTTTTACGCCTGCGAAGTCTCCGCTGACGCTCCTTTGTTCCACACGGTGATTAAAGACGCTCCAGTAATCGTCACAGGTAATTTTTTTTTATATAAATATTTTGCCAGAAAATCATGTCTTATAAAACCCTTATAACTTTTTGTTAACAGAGGAGCCTATTGCGTTACCGGAAGTCAGTGTAGAAAAAGGAAAATACTCCCTCGGTGAAAAGATAAGAGCCAATTGCACCTCACAAGGTGGATACCCTCCGGCCAATCTCACCTGGTTTATCAACGGAAAAGAAGTAAAATACAGTTATTTACTATTACTAAATTTAAATTACTATCAATAATAAATTATATTTGTCCACTTTAATTGGACTTTTTTTAAATTGTCAAATGTTTGCTACAAAAACGAAGACCTCTTCTGTAAATTAACTAAATGAAACTTTTTACAGTTCCATTTATATTTTTAAATACAATCCCAACTATTTAATTTACAAAATCAATCACTAATTACTAGAACAGTTTTATGTATTTTCTGTATATTATTCATTATTTGTAACTTTATGCTTATGAAAGTAAAGTTCGTAAATATTGTTAGTCTTAATTGATTAGTTTTCGTTTTCACAATGAATTGCACGGTGAAATTATGGTGTAATCTTACATACAAATATCACACAAAAATGTATATCATTTTAACCATATTAATAACTGTTGGATTCGTGAGGAGAGTTCAAGAATGTCGTAGTTTATAAAACATCTTTTTCATTTTTTGCCTGCGTTTCGACCTTTATTCGGGTCATCTTCAGGACAAAGCGTAGTGCTATTCCTGTGGTGACGTATAGGTGTTGTGTGAAATTGTTCCTGTCCTGAAGATGACCCGAAGAAAGGTTGAATGAAATGAAAAACGTATTTTTCTTAACTACATCATTCTTGACCGCTCCTCACGAATTCAACAATTATTAAACAACCGCTTACTAAAAAATAAAAAATACATATTAATAAGAAAATGTTTGTTGTAGTAATACTATGTGTGAGAGTTTAGTAAGTGCTTATTTAAATTGGAGAGAGAGAGAGAGAGAGAGAGAGAGAAAGAGAGAGAGAGAGAGAGAGATTAGTATTTTACACAATTAATGATAAAAAAAGTAATAAAGATTTTAAAATTACTATATATAAATTACGAGTAAAAAAATATACATAAAAAGTTTGTGTGTATGTGATAGAGAGATAGAAAGAGAGAGAGAGAGAGAGAGAGAGAGAGAGAGAGAGAGAGAGAGAGAGAGAGAGAGAAATACCGATATCTCATAAATCATATAGTTAGTTTTTAACTATTGTTAATATTAACAATCCTCAGAAAATGCACAGAAAACAATTATTTTTTAAATCTTTTTCTATTTTTATGCCTGTTATTATAATAGTCAAAACTGTCTCTCTCGCTCTCTCTCCCACACACACACACACACACACACTCACAGATGCGCGCGCAAATGCTTTGTAAAAAACGTGCACATTCACATAAACAAATAAAATTAGGAGTGAGTGTGATAAATTGAACTAATTAAATTCTTTAATAAAATACATTTTTATTGGGTTGTCCGGAAAATAATGCAGGATTTTAAGTTTTCATTAAAAAAAATCTATATAAAATGTTCTGTTTACGTTTACAGGATTACTCATTTGTATGAATGTCAACACTTATTAATCCTCTTCCAAATGATATTGTTTGTTTACCTCTGTAGCATTCCGCTACTTGGAAATAATTCAGTCATCCTTATAATGTCAAAGCGAGAATTTCGTACGATTTTCTTTTACGAGTTTAAACTCGGCCGAAGCGGAGCCCAAACGGCTAGAAACATTAACCAAGTCTGGGGCGAGGGTTGTGTTAATGAGTGCACTGTGCAAAGGTGGTTTAAAAAATTTCGGGAGGGAGATTTCAGCCTTGAAGATGAAGAAGGTCGTGGAAGGCCTTCCTCTCTTAATGATGATGTTCTGCGATCAGTGGTGGAAGAAAACCCCAAAACAACTGTTCGAGAACTTGCAGAGCAACTCAAAGTCAGTAAAACGACCGTCGCTGACCACCTCAAGGCGATTGGAAAAGTGAAAAAACTCGAAAATTGGGTTCCACACTCATTAAACGATCGCCAAAAAAATCAGCGCTTTGATGTTTGTGCATCACTTCTTTGTCGAAACAAAAATGACCCATTTCTGGCCAGAATTGTTACATGTGACGAAAAGTGGATTCTCTACGATAACACTAGACGTTCTGGACAGTGGCTCGACAAAGGAGAAGCTCCAAAGCCCCCAACTCATCAAAAAAAGGTAATGGTTACGGTATGGTGGGCTTCATTTGGTTTAATACACTACAGCTTCTTAAATCCTGGCGAAACCATCAATGCTGAATCATACTGTAACCAAATTAATACCATGCATCAGAAATTGGCAGTAATGAAGCCCTCTTTGGTCAATCGGAAAGGGCCCATTTTGTTGCATGACAACGCTCGACCACATGTGTCACGTGTAACGTCACAAAAATTATTGGAGCTTGGCTATGAAACTTTGCCTCACCCACCCTACTCTCCGGACCTCTCGCCTACTGACTACCATTTTTTTAGACACCTGGACCACTACTTACAACACATAATATTCAAAAACCAAACGGAACTGGAAAATGCATTTATTGACTTTATCAATTCTAAAAATTCTGAATTCTACTCAGACGGAATTAATAAGTTACCAACACGTTGGGAGAAATGTATTGAGAGTATGGGAAATTATTTTGATTAAAGAACATTGCTTTAAAGTAACTAGTTTCTTTTTTTTTGTTTAATACCAAAATCCTGCATTATTTTCCGGACAACCCAATAATCTAGTGTCATATTCCACGAGATAGTTTTTTATAAATTGAATCAATTTGTATGCTATAGACATGTACAACATACAATTGTGTTGTGAGTTTCTCAATGTAATCTGCAGGGTGATAAACCTCAAATTTGGTTGTTAGCAATCATTTTCGATTGCCTGTTTTCACTGGGATGGTCTGTCAAATGCAATTTGAAATTTCACTATTTTCAATGTTGTGTCTATGTGATTTCTGTGAAATCGAGTGGCCATGCGGGAGGTGGAGTGCGTGTGTCTGCGTTATCTTTGTCGATGTATTTGGTTGATTAAGTCTGTGACCATCAGTTGTTGTTTTTTTTAAATTTTTAATTGGTAATATTTTAAATGTTGTAAACAATTTGAATGGTTGTTAATTTGTGTGTATGATTTTTTAGTGTTAAATGTGTTCTTATTCTTCGTTTTTAATGTTGTGTAGAATGTAATTTCAAGCTTGCCTGTGTTGTTGCGTGTTCCTGGTAGTTTTCTATGAGGAGAGTCGCGTGATTTGATTTCCTATATCTTACATGTATGTTATTTTTCGTCCTGCATGTTCACGTTCTCTTGTTATGACCTATATGCCATTTTTGTCGAGTGGGTTAGTTTCGTCAAAGTGTTGTCTTACATTAGTAGTTTTCCGTCTGTGTTGATCTGCATCCGGTATGTGGTAATTCCTAATTTGTTAAATGTTTGTAAGTTTGTACGATTATTTTTCTTTGTGTGTGAATTTGATTAATTTATTATCAATAATTGTGCGTGTACTTTGTTTATTATTTTTGTTCGAATTGTAGCCATTGTTGTGTGCAATTTTTGATTTTAGATCGTTTTCGTATTTCCCTTTTGCCAGTGGAACTGTTTTAAAATTAAGTGTAAGTCTGATAAAATAATAAAATTTCGTTACATAAAATATACAAATGCATACCAATTAATAAAATAATTACTTAATTACATGTGAATATTTCTATCTCCCCTAAATCAATTGGTTCTCATAAGTAATATATAGGATAGGAGGAATTGTTTATTTAAATAAAAGATATAATTTAGCTAAAAAATAATGTGGTTAACGTTTCCGTTCATTTCCGTCTTGCTAACTATTATCGTTAACGATAGTATTGTTTCTCAATATCTCAATTTTGACAACGTGATATCTTGTTTCGATTAAAAGAAGTTTGACAGGTGATTTCTGAAAGTCAATGTTTCCCCGTTCTGAAAATTTCTCTAGATAGGATTGTCTCCTCGGGGGAGATTAGGAATCTACCAGAAGGCATCAATCACTAAGCGGGACAGAAAGAAATAAAGAAAGAGAGGGATTAGAAGTGAATCAATCGAAAATGGATGGGCGTTTTTTTCTGAATCAGCCTTTTCTGAAATTCAAGAGATTTTAATATATCGCGTTCTTCCAGGTGAAAGAGTGGGTCGGCAGCGTCGTTACGGAAATCCCAGGATTGAGCGAGGTGGAATTCGAGGCGAGATCTTCCCTATTTAGAGACGGAAAATTAAGACTGCGCTGTTTAGCCACTCAGTTCACACTATACAGAAGAACTGCGGAAGTTGATCTTCAAGAAGACACGCCTCAGCTGGCACATGTCATGGGCCCTACCGTCTCACCGTCTAGCGGTAAATCAAATTATTTCAAACCTTAAAACTCGACCTGGTTTGATTTAATAACTACAATTACAAACTTAAATAGAAACCCATTATATTTCGTGGTCCGATTGACCAAATAACTTCTTTCAATTAATTAATCTTTATGTAAGGTATTGGTTGAAATGAAAAAGCTAGTGTCACGAGCGGGATTCGAACCCACGACCTTCGGCTAAATACACCGTTGCTGTACCACTTGAGCTATCGTGTCTTCGAAAGGTAGGTTGAGATGGGAAGTTAGTGTCCGAGTGGATCGAAGTCACGATAGCTCAAGTGATAGAGCAGCGGCGTATTTAGCCGAAGGTCGTCGGTTCGAATCCCGCTCGTGACACTAGCTTTTTCATTTCAACTAATACCTTACGTAAAGATTAATTACTTAAATAGAAAGTGATAACATAATTTCCAAATTTTAAATGGCCAAAACTTTATACGTTCAGATTTTTTTGGGCTATATAAATTCAAAGCTTTTACTCCAAATATTGTCAACTCATAATTTGTGCATTCAGAAATCCTACCTTAAAACATAAGTCGATAGAGAATAAATTAGTGGATTCGCTTTTGACCTTGAGTTTATTACTTCTATTTTTTTCTTTATTTTACACACAAAAATATTGGTTTTACTAACACTTAGCTTGCGTCTCATATTTTCTCTATTCACGTGCTTTACATATGTTCAATCGAAAATACGTCGACTCCATGGATATCAAGCCCTAATGTTTTTGAAGAAGTTATAATGTAATTACCATAAGGATGGAAAAAGGTATAGTTTACATTATTTTATACAGGGTGTCCTTTTTAGATGGCCCGGTTGAATTTTTCTTGAACCAATGAAGCTAATAAAAAATAGGCTTTAATCCTTTTTAGTCTAGTTTCAAATTTTTACCTTTTTTTTGGTGAAGATTTATACCGGGTACCTCGGGCCCAGTTCAACCTCAAAATGTCAGGTACGACCCTATACATCCTGACATCATTTTAAAGGATGTTTTACGCTGAAAACAATGGTGCAATCGGATTTTAAGTTTGTAAAAAAAATCACAAATTTATGGCCAAAAGAAACCGGCAGGTAATTTCGACGAGGAGCTGAATATTTTATTGTATATTCGCGACAATCCGACTTCGTTTCTCCGAATGTTGTTGGAAAGATTTTAGGTTTTTCAAAAAATAAAATTAGAGATGCACTGCGGACCTACAATTTTAAGTCCTACAGTTACTATGGGTGCAAGTTCTGACGAAATTTTGTTCTGACGAGTTCGTCCGAACAAACAGTACTTCTTGTCCAATGAGAGTGTGTACTTCGGCGGCGAAGAGCATGACAGAACACATATTTCACACAAATGATGTTCCTCTGCAATTATGACAAAGAATCATTCTCCAGCTTGATGAATGCCCCCACACAATTCTTTGCATATGAGACATTACTTGAATCGTCACTTTGGGGATATGACCTCATAGAACAGATTGCAGTTGGCCTCCTCGGTCACCCGATTTAAATCCACTTGACTATTTTCTGTAGGGTCATTTAGAACATAACAGAGTCTATGCCAATTATAACCCAATAACCTCAGTTGACGAACTGCGGCAAAGAATAGAAAATGCTTGTCAATCCATCTCCCCTGACTATATCGCTTTGAGCACAGGTGAAAAGTGGTTAAAAAAGCAAATCTTTGCATCTTTACGCAAGGCGGGCACTTCGAACATGAAATGTGATTAATAAATAGCAAACCAAATGACAAACGTGCAAGGAACGTTAGAAGCATGTCATAAGCTCGAAGTCCCTGGATAAGATTTCCATTCCAACAACTTTCGGAGAGAGAAATTCGGATTTTCGCGAACATATAGAAAAATATTCAGCCCCTCGTCGGAATTACGCTGCCGGCTTCTTTTTGCCATTTTTTGACCAATTTAAAATCGATTGTACCTTTGTTTTCTGCGTGAAAAATCCTTTAAAAGGAGGTGCCAGGATATATAGAATTGTGTTTGAAATTTTGATGTTGAACTGGGCCTGGGGAGGTTCCCTATATAATTTTTCTCCAAAAAAAGAAAAAAATTTGAAACTAGACTAAAAAATCAAGAAAAATTCAGCCAGGTCATCTAAAAAGGACACCCTGCATAGTGTGGTTTATATTATAAATTGATTCAATTAGGCTTTGATTAACATATATTGCAGCCCAATATAGCAAAAAAGTGGTTTAATAAGACTCGTTTGGAAGTGGTGGAAAAAATTTAATTGTTCGGAGGAAAGGACTTTGATGGAAAAAATTAAATCCTAGCTTTCGTTCAGGGAAAATCCTTTAGCGTCTTTTTTTATTGTTAAATAAATTAAATTACTTTTTTGACGCTCCAAACAGCGTGAATTATTTGGTAAACAATGGGATCCCTTGTTTCCCGTCATCACCCTTGTCAACAAAATGCCCCCTACCCTATTCAGGGATTTTAAGGCTATTCAAAACAAATTTTATAGAAAAGTTTCACAAAGCTCGTAAATGTTTTACCCATTGTTCGTTTTCACCCCCTCCCAGAGCTTCGTCATATTATCAAGCTCTCGATTAACTCTGTCAATCGAAAAAACTGATTAAAAATTTAATGAAACCTTGACAAGAATGTAATAATTTTAACGGAGTGAAAACCGTGCCATGAAACGCAAAAATATTACTCTGAATTGTAAAATGTCACTTTCTTATAAATTAGTACAGCCTTGTAGCATGCCTAGAAACTCAATTGTTCTGCGACCATTTTCGTATTACAAGTGCGGCCCATGGTTAGATTGGGTTAGGGTTAGAAATGGTTAGTTTAGGTGAGGTTGGGTTGGGTTAAGAAAGGTCAGAAACCGACAGCCGTCTCCATTCGAAGGAAGGCAATCCCATCAACCGACGATCACCCAACCCATCCACTTAAACCGTTCAACTATGAATTTACCTCTGAACAATCGATTTTATTTCAATCTTTCCTTCAATTTTCTGGTTGTTTGTATGTGTCGTGTACGTAATTAAGTAGATAAAAACATGATAGTCTGGTTAGTATTCACACTACCCCAGAGTATTCCATATTCCTTGGGGTAATTTCGGATATGCCTCTCCATTCACGCTAATAAATTATATTCATACACCAAGCGTCGTCCACACTACCCCAGAGTACTCGATATTCCTCGGGGTAATTGGGTCACCTCCTTATTTGTTTTTTAATTTTTTGGAGTGGGTTTTGATGTTGAATACACCACAATTAACTGATAATAATTAATAATATTAATAACTTATTCCTTATAAACAATATAAATTTTTAAAATTAATTATTCGTTACAGAAATGGTAAACAGTACGGCCTGGAGGATGGGAACTTCACCGTGGATTGTTCCTGCTGCTCTCGCTACACTAACGTGGATTGCTCCAAGATAACTAACAACTAGTTCACTTTTGTAAATAAAAACAACAAACATGGTTTAATCATTTTCAATGTAAATACAAATGTAATCTAGTAGGTATAAATAAAATACAAGTCATTTAACAATAACAAAAGTATACTTGTTAAAACAAATGTTTGTATCGTGAAGCCCTTGGTCATTTCAAAGGATTCCATTATACATTTTGATTTCAATAAATACGACAATGTGTAAATATCAACTATATCCATGTAAATAATAGCGTCAAGGCAATTGTAAGATAAATGGTTTTGTATGTTATAATAATTTTATCTGTTTGTTGTTCATTTTAAAAGATTTTATTCATAGTATGTTTCAACAACTAACCCCTTGTTATTCTGAAATTCAAAACTAAAATTTTAAAATTGGAAACTTTAAGCATTTATCTTCAAAAGATAAAGAATGTTTGTGAACTATTTGATGAGTTCGTATTAACAGAAGCTTGATAGAGTTAGTTTCAAACATCGAGGTGTTAAATACGTTAAAAATATTGTTTAAAAAAAAAGAATATATATATTTAGTAATTCACCATGAATGCTCTTTTGTACGTTATATTTGTTTACTTGTTACATTCTCAAAATAACTATTGTGCAATGCGATAAAGTAAAATGTTAAATTTGAAATTTGCATAAATTTTTGTTCAAGAATTGAGTACGAGTTCTCTAAACCTTTTCATCAAAAGAATAAACATCAAACATCAAGAGCAACAAAACGAAAGAAATGAGTTTTTTCCTGAGTTCCTGTTGTGAGTTAGATGATACTTGGGGAAATTATATCGTTTTTATTAGGCGATACAAGTCACCCAAAGCCGTTTTCGGGTCGCCTCCTTTGCCTCTTAAATTTGATCGTTCCTTTCATCCTGTGGAATTACCAACTCTTTACATGCCAAAGTTGCTTTCAAGCTTAAATCGTACTTAATGCGCCTAGATAACTTTCGATTCGAAAACGAATGGTCTTTGCATCGCAAACGTTTTAATTGTATTGGATAGAAAAAAAGAGAATAAGGCTAAAGTACGTCGGAAGAAAAGAAAATTCACGTTAGTGAATAATACAAACTCTCGTTTCCTTTGGGAAAAAACTGGCTAACTCTCAATTCCATCAATTTATATTTAATTGGCTGACGTGATAATGAATTTGCTTCCTTTGCCAAATGAAAACATAAAGTATGTATGAGAAACTCCTCGTGGAATTATCAGTGTTGAGCCAAACAGATGTTTTCTTAACAAAACTGACTAATTCTCAACAGTATCGTATTAACTTAATATATTACAATTAATTGGTCAAGCGAACCACGAAATTAGAGAATTAACTTAATACTTGGTGATCTGGCTTAACAATAGAGAATTACGTGTGTGGTGTTTAGTGACCGTTAGTAACTGATTATTTGGAGATCGTAAGATGCGGTCTGGTGTGACGTAGGTTTTAGAAAAACATTCTCTTTATCGTGTCAACGTTTCGATCTTTATTCAGATCATCTTCGTGTTGAGAGTGCCATGACATACAAGAATAACACATCTACTCGGAAAACAAACACTTTTTGATGTTAAGCCCTGAAGTTGATCTCAATAAAGATCGAAACATTGGCACGATAAAGAAAATGTTTTCCTAAAACCTACGTCACACCAGACCGCATCTCACGATCTCCAAATAATCATAGAGAATTAATATCAAAAGACTAAAAAAAGAATTTGCTGTGAGATTTCTTCACGCTTTTTGATCGGTGAGTATCATGAAGTTGGGTCGTAACAGATCAATTTGGTATGCGAAAAAACTCTAAAGATGACGAAACACCAAAAAAGTGTCTAACATACCAACCAGCAAAGGTAGGCAGGCCAAAATAATCGTAACGATTAAGTTCCAAAAAGAATTTAACTTTAATGGTAAAGAAATTCTTCAATATACCTCATCTTTACCTTAGCTTTAAATGTATTAAAGATGGACAGATCATAAGCATGTAACAAATTTTCTTCTACATGATCATAATCTCTCGGTCTAGGCATTAACGAAAAAAATCCCCAACAATCCGCGAAAACCAATTGGGGAGTCATCACAACTCAATTAAAATTCGCAACGGCTTCCACGAGGAAATACATATTTATGACTATCCCTGTTACTCTTAAAGCCAATGAAATATTTATGAGTAATTCCCGTTCGATTGGGTTTCCACCGACTAGGCCCTGGGTGAAAAACAGATTATCCATCCAGGTAAAACATATTTTTGTTTTTATCGAATCGGACGTACACAACAATTTAATATGTGCATTTCGAATCGGTTTATTTAATATTCTCTAAAGCTTTGAAAGTCCTAATAAATTTATGGTTGATAAAATTATTTAGGGGTTTCCCACTGATTCAATTCACTGAGTGCTAAGTGGAATAAGCCTGGTTGCACCTTTCAGTAACAATAAAAACCATTATTTGTTTTATATTTTTACAACCAAGTAAATTCATATTTATACATTGAAAATAAGTAAAAACAAAGCTTGCAAATAGGCTAGGTTGTTTTAGGCAAAGGACGATTTTTCTTCAAACAAATTTTGTTCTTGCAACGATGCTGATGGTACTTCATAGAAACTTCTTTTTTCTTTCTTAAAGTTTTGTTCGTCACGTTGCTTTTTTTAACGTTTAAAATACATTTCCTCGATAGTTTTTCTTTATGGTTATCAACTTGCTTAACACTAACACTAACACTTAACACTAACCATTGATTTATTAACGGATCCTTTTAATTATGGATGCATAGAAGAGAGAGAAGAATCACTTTTCTTGAAATCTTAGCATCACTATTCAAATGTAATAAAGCTTTTTTGTGATTAATTCACATTCGGGAATAACTAATGGGCCAGAAATATTATCGTCGAGAGAAAAATTGACCAGTTCAATCAACTTGAATATCATCACGTCATAATGCTTTTTCATGTTGATTGAGGGCGGAGATGAAATTGTCTACGCCAATCAATAAACCAAGCGAGTGAAATTTATTGTAGCGTTACTGTAGTAGTTTTTATACATTTAACCGTCGAGTTTAAATCTACTACCTTCACTATTAATCTATAATTTTTCATGGCAATTTTAAAATATATAAATCGAACGTTTATCATGTTTTTTAATATTATTTCTCATATTTTGAGATAGTTTGATTTAAATTTTCTTTGATCGATGATGAACTCTAATATTTTAATAACTTATTCAATTAATTTCATAGCGTACTATTAGATGACCCCCTCTGACGTTCAAAGAGCATATAAGGGTTTATTCTCATTTATTTTTTATGAAAAATTCTGAACTTTACTGTTATAATTAGGCTAAACGTGGTATTTATTATCACCCTCCAAAATTCTCCAACCTTCCTCAGATTGCGTTTTTGACAAGTTAAGAAAAATATCCAAATATTAACCGATTCCCTCGATCTGTCAAAATATTTGATTGAAGAAAAGCCCTTTACATGGAAACATCAAGCAATACTGATTTGTCAATTTTTTGCCAGTACAACACAGTACAACAAATCGTTCTCTTTTAAAGTGAAAATGATATGCTGTTCCGTTTCCGACATGGCAGGATTTTGTTTTTATTCCTGTGCTTTTTTCTTATGTAAATACTATGTTCAAACCGTTTCATATCGAACTTATTTTTAAAAAACCTGATATATTTTCATTTGTGTTTCTCTTGCCCTTCTCCAATAACAATGCGATACGACAAAATGTTGAATTTGTTTCCGAAAGCTTGTTTTTCTTTCCTTATGTCTAGATTTTCCATTTCGTTACACGTCAGTGGCTCCGTCCTGACCTTGATGGAAACGTGTCAATATTGGAAATTGTGTTGTCTGTATTGACGGTTGCCAAACGCATGCCGTGAATTTTTTTTTTTCGTTTTGTTCATCCCCGACCCGGATCTTATTTTTTTAGGAAATATCCCATTGCTAAACCCTCATGAGTCCATTTACGTTTTAGTTGACAATTAACCAAGTTACTTTTTTCAATTAATTATTCTTTCTATATAAAGTCTTGGTTGAGATAAAAAGTCAGTGTCACGAGCGGGATTCGAACCCACGACCTTCGGTTAAATACGCCGCTGCTCTACCACGAGCTAAAACTATAGGAAATTATAATAAGTTTTCAATTGATCACCTTCCACTTTGCCCGATTTCTAAACCGCTTTAGAATTATTCACGTTTTTTGGGCAAAAAACGAGGGTTTTTAAGTGCACATGAAACAACCGATCACTCTCTCCCAATTTTGAAGAACGCATAAATTTTTAACCATCAGGGCAGTGTATATTAAAAATAAAGTAATGAGAGCTTTAAAAAATGTGGATACAAGTTTGTATTGTTTTTCATATAATTAATACCAAAGCGCAGTGCCTGCAAAAATCAAGATAATACATTTTATTTATTTTTGATTTCATAGAAATAGCAAAGATGTTTCCTTTTCGTTTGAACAATCTAGATTTTTATGTTTTAGATTAAATTTGAAAAAATCTATTTGCTTACTTTTGGCTTCTTAGTCACTATCTTAATAAAATATCTAGACCTTCCCTGTAAAAAATGTTGAGTTTCTTTGTTAAACGAAGAACTGATAACAAAGAAGCCGCAGGAAAACCTCAACGCTTCCCAACTTACACGCTCAGCTGATTTAGAACTATTACCATCACATATAGAGAAAATAGAATGAAGTAACCGCTAGGGCCGAAGAAATAGAATTAGCTCTTCAGGCTGTGGTAGGGTAAGAAAGACGTAGTCGACGGAGAGTGGTACGTGGAAGGAAGAGACCATTCTGACAAGACTACTAATGGGCCATATAAGAATAGCACGTGGACGCCTCCAGCCTGGAAAGCGTCCGTGTATGTAGGTTAAAGCGGGGAACACACCCGATGCAACACTGCGACGCTACCCGATGCTACCGACGCAAATCCGAAGTCCAATTTTCCATAAGGTTGTATTACCCCCGTGCACATCTACCGGATGCTATGCCACGCTAACCTACCCGACGCTCTGCGATTCCCACTGCCCAGATTTTCGTCGGGACCATCGAGTACAGTCGAAGACAAAAGAACCGGACACTCATATTTTTATTGAAACTACCTGTATTATTGACGTTATATTAATTACAACATACTTATTTTAACATAAAACAAATTAACCGAGATCAAAAATTTATTAGTTTTTATTTTAAAAAATTAATTTTAATTGTTTGGTAGAAAATTGATCAAAACACCGGAATACCATTTTTTGATATAATGAATTTAACTAACAATTTATTTCACGGTTTTGCTCATAAAATTGAATTAACAATTTATTTCATGGTTTTTCTCATACAATTACACCATTTTCATCGAGTAGCGTCAGAAAAGGACACCCATATTTTTTGTAGTTTATTTCAGACTATGTATATGTAATTTTGTCGTTATGTCAATTACAACATTCTTATTTTAATATAAACCAAATTAAACGAGATCAAAAATTCATGAGTTTTTATAAAAACGATTTAATCACGATAGTTACGCAGAGAATTAATCAAACACTGGAATAACTGTAATTAAAACAATTAAATTTAACTAACAATTTATTACATAGTTTTGCTCAAAATAATGCATTAAGAACAAAAGATTTTGGTACTGATTTGTGTAACACGATGTGTAACTGTACGTGGCGTGCTGTTGACGTCGCATAGATGTGCACACCCTACCAAAACGAGACAAGGCGTCGGGTTGCGTCGCGTAGCGTTGCATCGGGTGTGTTCCCCACATAAAATAACGGTCAAGCATATTTTCAAATGTAGAAGGCTTGACGCATGTTAACCTCTAATGTATACATTAATCGCGTAGAATAAATCTAATTTATTAGCGTGAAAGGAAGACGTGAGGGACGTGCGGTGAGTAAATGTAATCTTTTTAGCGAGTATTGAAAGGGTTCAACTTGCATATATATTTACGTTTTGTCTGAATTTTACAATTGGCAACCTAAGGAACAAACGAGAGATCAGCATTAGCAAGAGAGGACAGACGGATATCTCAAAGAGTCGCTCATCTCAGGACCTTTTGTTCCAAATCCGTCATTATAGACGATTAAAAATTAATCCAAGTCTTCACATTTTAAAACAATGTTCATTTACTGCTTAAACTCTACAAAGGTGGAACCAAAGCCAGACACTCCCACGCTCCCTCGATACATAAAAATCTAACAAAGGTTAA